TWTWKTGTGTGTKTGACATAGAGGAAAAAAAGAATAAGTTGAACAAAATKTTCAGCAAAATWAGATGACATATAGCAGGTACACTTCTTCGCAGGTCCCATGCATCACAGGTGCATTATCGACTACTATCTGTTTCTAACAGTGTCGGAACCTGGGAACCTATTATAGCATGGCATGATGTGGGGGGGGACGCGCATTCCATACAATTATGTAATACGAATAATTAATTAATTGATTTTAATTACAATTAAGAATCTTATGCGATCGACAATATCGTAAACTAATCGTTTTGGTACGTTTTCGCGTGTTTCAGCTCAAATCGAGATCATACCGTGCAAGGTRTGCGGTGACAAGTCCAGCGGCGTCCACTACGGCGTGATTACGTGCGAGGGCTGCAAAGGATTCTTCCGGCGGTCGCAGTCGTCCGTGGTCAACTATCAGTGCCCGCGCAACAAGAATTGCGTGGTGGACCGAGTCAACAGAAACCGGTGCCAGTACTGTCGGCTCCAGAAATGTCTGCGGTTGGGCATGTCCCGTGACGGTAAGTGTGCAGAGCTTACTATTATACAATCGTATAAATATATGATGCTTGGTGATGGGTGCGCAATGTAGTGAGTGCGCGTAAAAAGGACGACGACGATAAAAATAATTATTTAATCACGACGYGTTGTGTGACGATGACGGCGGCGCGACAAACTTTGGAAATCCACGTTTGTATGCATTTCGTCCCATVWTCTCCTCATCACCAACGCAGGGTGCCCACAAGAGAGGGGGGGTGTCAGAATGACCCATGGTACCGAGGYCCAAACTTTCGAAGGCGTTCATGCAAATAATTATTTCAATATTTMWATATTAGAAAAATGTTTAAAATTAATTGTTATTTAACAGGGGCCCGAATTTAGTTCTACACTGGGAGCTGCTGAATAACAGGTCACCGGGGTGGTTAAAAGCCTSTATGACTTTTTTATTTTATCGATATATATATATACCACTGTATCAGTTACTAGCTGGAGCACCTCTGAAAAAATGTGCAAAACGGGAGAGGGTTGACTCTCAATTACCCCCCTCGTTTCACCTATCAATGTGCAGTGTTATCCGTTCGACTAGCTCTCATTGTTTATTCGTTGAAATTTCAAAGCCGAGAATTATAATCTCGACGATGGGGTAAGGGAGCGGAGTTGATCGAGAATAACTCAGTAAATGTTGACTGATTGTTTTAAAAGTTCGTGACAGTTTTATGTTTATTTTTATATTTAATTTAATTTATTTTTAGTTTTTATACATTATTAATTGTTATAATACAATACGTGACTAAAACGACTACGTAAAATAAACGATGGCAACCATCACGAGAACGTTTCGATATTGGTCAATTGTATTATATAATGTATTCAATATATATATATCAAACGACTCATATAATATATTATTAAAATTTCCTGTGCTTTTTGTGAAATGCGATTTGTGTAATGGCGATGTCGGCGCTGGGGTTAAGCTCGCGATCGAGTCAATAACCTACTCTCGACCCGGGGTGTCAACGCAACCAAATACACACGCACGCCTACTCACACCACACCAATGTCGGTGGTGGGCGCACACAATATCGTTATAATAATAAATTAGTCAGTAGTGCAATCAGTTTATCTAACGCTATACTTGGTCCCTTGGGATATTTCTTTAAACCTTCTCAAAAACACAATTATTGCAATGTTAATTTTTCATAGTTTATGACACACTGTTATACGAATTGCATTGTGTCGGTTTGACTAGCTGCTATTATCTGTTTGGTATTAGTATAGTGTTGCAGAAGATTTTTGTAACGTCGTGATATGATAAATTCGTAACGATCGAAATCGTCTAGCCTAATAAATTCAAATATCTATACAGTTGATATAATTATAGTCGTTTGCCACAACAGATCACAAAATGCCACGAATGGGCCGCATTTCAAATCAGTAACGTAACTCAGCCCCCCCACTCCCCCCAACACATTTATGACATATACAATTATTTATTTAATCTAAAATATAATACGGAGAAATTGTCGACTATAATAACGATTTTGCGATGGTTCGCATTACGATAAAACAACTGTGAAAGATGTCTCGCAAGCATTTGGCACCGTAAATAGACATTTAAATTAAATTTATCGGTCTATGAATAAAATTAACATGAGGCAATTTTAACACAGATTCTGGTTGTCCTATATACTGTCATATATTATATAACTATTTTAATAAATATACATAAAAATAAATATAATAACCTAACATGCCAATAGCCATCTGCGCATGAATATCCAAAAAACTACTTATTTAAGCAACTAGGAAGTCGAAATTGAACGATAATTACGAATAAATTACACGACTTGTCTGTGTTGCGTTTTATGCGAATGACAATGTGTGTCGGTATTTTGGTGCATATTGCAAATAATATAACACTCGTCCGTTTTTGTTTTTCGTTTCTACAGCTGTCAAGTTTGGGCGTATGAGCAAGAAGCAACGAGAAAAGGTCGAAGACGAAGTACGATTCCACAGGGCGCAGATGCGTTCAACAGCAGCCGCCGCGGCCGCGGCCGCAGCTGCAGCGGTGGCCGCGCAGGCCACTGCCATTGATTGCTGTTCGACTACGACCGGCATTGGCAGCGGTGGTGGTACCGCGGCCGTAGCCGCTGACTCGTCAGTGTTCGATCACGACCAGCACGGGCAGCAGCACGGGCACGGGCAACAGCAACAGCAGCAGATGCCCTCCAGCACCGCCGACCACGGGCTGCGCTTACACCAACTGCACAGTGGGGGAGGACATCTYTCGCAACACCACCATCAGCAACAACAGCAGCAGCAACAACAGCAACAGCAGCAGCTACAACAGCAGCAACAACAGCACCAGCAACACCAGCTCCACGGCCAGCAGCAACAGTTTAACATCAACAGTAACGTCCAGCAAGCTTACGCCGCGGCCGCAGCAGCAGCCGCCGCTGCAGCAGCGGCTGCTGCGTCCGGCGGTGGCGTCAATGGATCGAACGGCGGCACAGGAGTCGGGTGAGTACAGTGCACCTATTTAATTCAAATAAAATAGTGGGATCGATGCCAAAAGGTGTTGACTTTCGTGATTAGGCAATTGATGGTCTCAAATCACATTTGCAGCGACATCAATTTAATGTGATATAATAATATGATGTTAAACATAGGCGCCCGCAGGGAGGGACAAGCTGGGGAATTTGCCCCCGYCCTGGCTTTTTCAAAATATTTTTTTAAATTGAATGTTTTAAGATAAATTACTATATACTAAACAACAAATTTAAAGTATAAAATAAGTTGTAATATAATATAATATAATATAATATATTGTATACAAGTATAACAAAAAAAGGTTATTATTTTAAAACACCTAGTGAAATTATAATATTTATCTTCAAATCCTAACATTGCCCCCCCTCCCCTCTAGAAAAATTTCTGCGGGYGCCTATGATGTTAAATGCTTGGGATTGAGAGGTTTTATTACGGAGGAGAAATAATATTATGTGATCTATCGGTGAGCAGTTTGGAAATTAAAACAGCAATATATATAGTATCTATTCATATCAGAACCTTTTGGATCTTATTACATATTAAAGTTTATATTGCTATTATTATGTAATCGTTTCACCAATGTCACCGACGTCGTTTGCAGATATGGAGGTGGCGGGTACAACGGCAGCGGCGGAACGAACGCGGCCGCAGCAGCCGCGTCGCTTGTGGTGGACACGTTCGCGGCGTACGCGGCAGCAGCCACTTCGTCGGCGGTGCAGGCTGGCGCGAGTGGTTCCGTGCCGCCCCCATACGACACGGCGGCAACGAGCAGCAATTACGTTGCGGATAGCACGACACCGGCAGCGTCCAGCACGACGCCGTCGACGGCCGCGGCCACGTCCACGTACGGCGGTGACATGGAAGTGTCGTCGGTGGCGGCAGTCGCGTCCGGAGCACAGGACAACTTGATGGCCGGTGTTTCTGGTTCTACGGCCGCCGTTTCTTCGGGTTAGTACATGATATTTATAAGTGCTTAATCAATAATTAGTGTGTTGTGACCACCGGGTGTGTATGCTGAAACAGGTGTTGCAAACGTATAGGAATTTCTGGTGGTTACCGCGGTTATTTTCGAATAGTGGTCCTGTGCAGCATTTTTTGGGGTACTTATTTAGTGCATTCTAACTGATTGTGGTCCATGTTTTTTTTTCGTTGCATTCTAATATTAAAAATATAAAAATAAATATTATCATATTATATTAATATGGAACTTAATTTTCCTTCTAATTTTTCCACATGCAGGCTAGAATTATTGTTACACGTAGGTTAAATTTTATAGACATGTTATTATATTATATTTAAAAATATTATAGCAATGTTGAAAACTTGTTTGATTCATTTTTTCTATAAATTTGAATTTGGTAATTTTTAACTATCATTATATTATTAAAAATTGATCAATGAGAATAATAGTTCGTTATATACATCTTAAAATGGTAAACGATTGAAGCGTATACAAATTACCGGGCCTTAATTAAGCTCCCTAAATTAATACAATTAGAACTTTCATCAAACCTAACTAGTTATCTTTGAAATTTCGTGATTTGAAACACCATCACTATATCACTTCCATTTACGCAAAATTATTCATATTACTTACTACGCATTCATTTACAAGATCTGCATGTATGCAATTTGAAAATTGTCTACTTTGAACTTCTCACAAACTGTCCGCCATCTTAATCGTAGGTATACGTAAAAACTTTTGAAACGTCCAGACGTTTACATCACAATACAATTTAAAGTATTATCATACTAAATAAACATTAAAAATATTAACACATAATCAAATTATTAGTCGTAATATTATGGTACCTACTTTGTAACAATAGTTAGTAGAAATACAAAAATAATGTTAATACGGATCGGGCGGGTAAATGTAAACTGGCCACGCAATTAACATTTTTAATTAAATCTGAGGAGATATAAATATACATTTTAATTCAGGCCAAGTTTGTATGTCAATCATTTTTACCAGGAAAAACTTACATGAGTTTATAATAGACTTTTTGAGCACTTTTTTGTTTTGCGTTGATTACAATCGCCCGACTGCTGTACCTGCGGTTAGGCAAGTGTAGGTGTATATTATGAGTTTAAAAATAATCCTATCTTTTCGTTAAACACTCGAAGATTTTCGCTGATTTATTATTATATATTTACTCCCAAATAATTTATGATATTCAATTAGTTTGTGTTAAATGACTATTTAGTATTCTTAGGAGTTAAATTATAAAATTATGAATCAACAGTGATTTATTATGAGTGTATATAATTTGTAGTTCAAAGTTGAATAAAATAAAAATGTATTATTTATAACCTACTTCATGTAAATATTAATTGTTTTAAACAAAAATCAAAACGAAACTTATTCATATGTTGATTTTCAATTGAACATACAAGACCTAATTTTGATGTTTTTTGAGGGGTCATGAATAAATACCACACCTACTAATGAGTACGACCACATTATTGTAGGTTAGGCAGCCCTCATCTTTGCGGTGCATCACAGTGCAGTGCGAGTGTAATGCGGTTACATCGCTATACACCCCAATAATAATAATAATAGTAGAAATAGTATTTGGGTTAATTGTATCTAACTTTGTGCGTTTACCAATTTTAGCCGCAGATGCCGTCCAGATCAGTGAATTGCTGAGCAAGACCATTGCAGACGCTCATGCCCGCACGTGTTTTTACACGCTCGACCAGATACACGATGGCATGTACCGAACAGCCACAATGGCGGCAGCCAACAAGGCCACTGCCGACAAATTGATAATGTACAAGACCATGGTAAGTTATATTGTTGGGTGTAGCCGTGTATAACGTATTTACGTAACGCCAATATCAGGCTGGGTCGGAGCTTCTTGAAATTTAGTCTTATAAATGTATACTGTAATATGAGCGAAGTGGTTAAGTCGTAACTTGGTAATTTAACCGTTTTTAAGAATGTCGTGTCACCGTGTCTGTAGTTTTAAAAATATCGTCCGTTATTGGTTTAAATTAAAATTATTTATCTAATATAAAATAGAGGATCCAAAATAATTATTGATTCCTTCCCTGTCTGTCAAGATAATTTTTATGTATGACCTTAAATCAAACATTTAATTTTTAAGTGTTTTTTTTTTTTTTTAATTATTATTTTAAAAGTCCATATTATAGTATTTTATTAGACATTGTCCAAATTCTATATGCTAGGTCAAGTTTATTTGTTTATAATAAATATAGTACTATATTTGACTAAAATAAAATGCGGAAAATATTTCTTGTATGATTAAAAATGTAAGTATTTTAATTTTATACGTAGGATAAACAAATATAGGTATTCATTAGGTGCTATAATCCGCTAGTTTGGAAAAAATAATAGTACCTACCTAATTGATACACGATTGGAATAACGTAAATTCAATAAATTCAATATTACGATAATAAATCAAAACAATGTTTTATGTATGAATTACTGCGAAACTTAATTTCACAAAATTTTTAGAAAGATTTATTTAAAGATTTTAAATTTTTAATAAACCGGTTTGTATTAACTGGTTATAAAAATAATTTTAATTAAATTAATTGTATCAAATTTTGAATATTTTCAAACTTCAAACACCTAATAAACGCTTAACTTGAGGTTAAAATACATGACATTAGAACTCATGGCACGCTCCTCTTTATTGGCTAAGTAGGCCCTCCAATGGTTTATTCCACCCGCCCATGCTGTCTCAAAGACAAAAGGCAAGGAGGGTTAAAACCATACAAACCTAAAATTGCTTTTTAGTAGTATATGGGTAAAGCTACTTGCTATATTTTTAGTTAGAATAGTATTCTAGTAGATACAGTTCTGTAGGACATAAATTAAACATGGTATCTTTGAGGAGATCATTTTTGGAATTGACTGGATTAACTAATTGGACACTTGTTTTAAATTAAGTTTTTATATGATATTTTGTGGTAAAAATTATAGATAGGTATAGTTTAGAATTATTTAAATTATTTATATGCAATATATAAATATAAATTTGATGTGTAATGTCGAAAAAAAATTGTAAACATTTTTTATACACGTGCAACTGTCGCTGTCGATTAGAGTTTAATTATAAAATTTTTTTAATTTTTAGCCTCACGAGGAACTGTGGTTGGAATGTGCACAAAAGTTGACGTCCGTAATTCAGCAGATCATCGAATTTGCGAAAATGGTTCCCGGCTTCATGAAACTATCGCAAGACGACCAGATCGTACTACTCAAAGCGGGTAAGTTGTGCATCGGTTATGAACGGTAAAAATGTTTAAACATCGCAAAGACAAGATAGTAGCATATTCTAAAGGAACCCCACGGAAGCTGTTTAATTGAATGGTTATAGTGGTTAGACAGTCAAACGCAAACCTCGTAGATTTAACACGAGTATTATTTATACTCGTATTTTAAACTTTGCAAACGTTTGTAACAGAAATTTTAAAATAGTTTTTTGGTTGCTTTTCTCTTATCTTGCTGTCGCCTCTCGATCTCGTCGTGTTCATTGTGTAACGTTCGTAATCGTACAATTATTTGTGAAACTAATTTCTTTATTGTTCCAACAGGAAGTTTCGAGTTGGCAGTGTTAAGGATGTCCCGACATTACGACCTTCACCGAGACTGCGTCTACTATGCTGATGCATTGCTGCCAGCAGATGCGTTTTATACACAAGACACAGTCGAAAAGAAACTGGTGTCGTTGGCTTTCGAAGTGAGCCGTTCTGTGGCTTCGATGAAACTTACTGAGACCGAGCTGGCCCTGTACTCGGCTGTCGTGTTGCTGTCGCCAGGTTGGTATTCCACGATAACGATTATGTATCTATAATTTTGTACCAGAAATACCACAGATAAGTACAATTATCTAGACGGCAGAGCCGGTTCCGTCCAACGCATATAATAATATGATTTTTATCTTTCACACATTGCGCGTCTGGGATATTCCTTGACCCACATTTTCCCGATTCAGATAGTACAAAATCCGAAACAACAAATGGGGTTTTAATGAGTCAAGGGTTTATTAAATCCCACAGGATTTTTCCATCAGCATTATGGATGTATCCATTTATATACTATCTATGAAACTATAAACACGGTGTGGCCAATTGGTCGATACCAGACGATTTCAAAGGCGATTCCTCCAAGAATTTATTATTATACAACTAATAACGCCTTTAATAAATTCTAGTAACTGCTATTGAAATTACAGTTGCATGAAATCGAATGGCTCTTCATAGGAAAAATATATTACTCGTATCAGTAGATCAGAAAATTCATATAATTTGATACTTTCAATAATGGTTCTCATCCTCAGCTTGAAAAAAGCAACTTTCCTATATTCCGGGGAGCATTATATACATTATCATATTGACTATAATTTTCACTGAAGTCTAACGACACATAACGTTTGACAAAAGTTTTACCTTTAGTCTCCTCTAAAAATTCTACCAAATTCGTGTCTATATAGTGTGTTTTACTTATTATTACCAGTCAGCGACCTAGTTTTTTGTGCGCCTGGCACACTGTTGTTTAACACTCTTAATTTTCGCATGGAAATTATTTTATTTGACTATTAAATCTCGTTACAGACCGACAAGGCTTGAAAGGCACTGCAGAGATCGGTCGCCTCAGACAGGCCATTCTGCGTGCTCTGCGTATGGAGCTCGACCATAGGACCGGTGGTGGCAAAAATGCCACTAACGTTGATCTGCAACACCAGCAACATCATCAACAGCAGCAACAGCAGCAGAATCTAGTTTGCGATGCCCTCATACAAAAGATCCCGATACTCAGGTGAGAATTGATGTAAAATATAATCAAGTACTGCATTTTAGGAACTAATAACTGTACAAAATATGTTTATCTATCAAGTACTCAACAATTAATATTATATTAAGTAATGTTAGATTATATAATTTAATTTCAGCTTTAAGTTTTAATATTATTAAAATCAATTTATAAGATATAACAAACAGTTGCATAATGCAATTAACATAAATAATTAAAGTCATATACACGTAGTGAATCATGGAATGTCAATACATATTATATAGAATAAAATAGTTTTGGCATAAAAAATTAATGTACACAGGTGCGAATGAAAATAAGTAGTAAATGATATATTTGGCATATGGTATGCAAGATTTTCTACACATTTTATTATGTGTTTGTAATACGAGTACGAGTTATAAACAATTAAAGAACTCTTACTAAAAAGTAAAAATTAAATATGATAAAAATTAAATTATGTTTTTAACCTTGCGTTATTTTAATGTTGTAGGTATACTAAAAAAATTTTCAGACTACAAAGTCTAAGTCATTGTAACTTTTGTAATATAATAGGTAATACGCTCATTTTGATCAGTATGTTGATAATTTTTGATAGTTACCATTTTGTAATCACCCTGTAGTTCATATATAATATTCAATATTAGATCGACAAACTTTTAAATTGAAATTTAAGCTTTAAGTTTTGTTTTCATTCCTAGTCATTAATATAGTATTATTATAGTATTAAGTCTAGCTTATACTATTATTTACGGTTACGTGCCAATTCACAAATTAAACTAGTTACTTCTCATTATAACGTAACAAATTGTTTTTCAACACGTCAAAGTTACACATAAAGTTTACTTTATTTTAAATAATTATTTTTCTATAAGTTCTACAGGTATTTATTATGTTATAGGTTTTAAATTTTTTATGAAGATATGTCTAATGACAATATCTACACTCTAGTTTATTGTACCTATATATTTGATAAGCTACCTTTAACAAAAAAATAAATAGTTTTATATATAGGCATTGCCAAAAGAGAAATAAATTGTAAACGTTTGAGTTTTATAGTAATAGATTTCTTAATTTCATTGTGTATACCTTCTTTCTTTTGAACACTTTTAATTATCACTATTAAGTTTTTGTCAATATAAAAAGGACCTATTGAGGACGAATTCGATTTTTCTCGTAAAATGACTTCACTAGATTATAAAAGTAAAAATAAATTTGCTCGGCCAGTAGCTTTACTCGTTTATGACAATTTCGATAAGCCAGCGTCCAGTCCTTTATAGACATTTTTTACTTTAGTCGGGAACGTTGGGGTGTAAAATGACAATTGATTTTGATTTTTTTCACGTGGCTGTGATATTTATTATACTACAGTGGTAAGTATAAATTTTTACACTCATATAGTTGAGATGTAAACAGAGTGTAATCGACTGAATAAAACATTTTCGTCTATATTCTAGTATTAGAACAGATAAATGGGGTAGCAACGGTGAATGAACATACCACTGTATATAGAAAATACGATTCGTTTAGAATTTCAAATATACAGCTAGCTGGTTGTTTAAATGGTTATTCAATATATATATATATATTTATAAATAATGTTAGAGGGGAGGTGATATTGAGGCTATTACATCCGCCACTGCAAATGCCAAATACTACCGCTCCGCGCGTGTATGAATCAAATTTCCGCCGAGTAGATACGTGTCAGCTTAACCCACCTTATTCACCATGCAGCTGTTCGTGCGATAAATACAAGTTCTGCTGCGGCAGTCAATAGCACACATATTCCACTCCTCACTTATACTATAAAAAAATTCTTCATATTTTGCGTGCTGACTTTAGAGTGTACGTGGTGAGTAGATAAATACTTTGATATATTTTTTCAGCAATCAAAATATGATTGCATTATAAAAAAAAATAAAAATAAAAAATGTATTTGTATTATAACGAAAAATAGAGTTATGGTACATATTATATGATTAAAAGTAATATTTTTTTTTCATTTATAAATAAAATTGATTTTTATCCCGATACTTTTGTATACACGATTAATGCCCTACTAAATTAACTACTAATAATACACAGCTGAACTGGTTGGCAAGTTTTTTTTTTTATTTAACTTCAATAGACACAAATACATTTAAATTTTTAACAATAGTAAAACATTACTTTTATACTTCGTTAATGTCATACATACACAATTTTATCTGCGTAATAGAGAAAAACGTAAAAATTAAAAATTTTGAATTGCATTTGATTTCTAATTAGGCACAAGTAAGTTAATTTGTACTAGTGCCTAGTAAAGATACCAAAAACGGTTGTAAGAATATAAGAGCCAACTTGGGGAAATCTGGATTTGATAAATCAGAATAATATATTAATATCATAGCCGTAAAGAGTTTAAACTTCTAAACCTCATCTTCACTAATAGGTACCATAATATATTATTATTTATTATTTGTAGACCTACCAGCTACAACAATAATTTATTTATGATAAATTAATATTTTTATTTTTATTATTCGCATACACATGTTATGTGTAAGATAAAAAAGAAACTTGCATGAAAAAGCAAAATAATTGTAATTTTTAAATTTGTGTATGATCGAGTATAGAGTTGGTATATTAGGTATACAGGGTGATTCTTTTATCAAACAACACTCATTATTTCAAAAACTATTGACTTTTTTCAATTTTTTTTTTTTCAAAATTTTAGATCCATCTTGTTCTAGAACTATATATTTTTTTWAAATATTTTCACCCTTATATTTATCAGGTAAACCATTATCAACTTTTGATTTTCAAATGACAACCTATACTTAAAATGTCATAAACTAAAAAGACTATTTTTTCAATGAATTTTCACGTTTAAATTTTCAATTTTCGTTAATCCGTTTACAAGATATAGCCTCCCAAAGTTGGGTGGTTTTGGGTGTTGTAGATGTATGTTAGGTGGTATTTACAAACGAATACCATATAAGTGTTGTTTGATAAATGAATCACCCTGTATAATATAAGGTATATTATAGATACAAACTGACAATGGCGTTCAAAATAAATGTGGTAATGATAATTTTATTCATTCATAAAGTTCTTACCAAAGTTTCATAATATTATATTTGTTTTTCATTACCTATACAAAGTACGTTTTAAGAGTTTCAAAGTAAACACTCTAGTGACACAAGACACAACTTCAAAAACTATTTAACGTAATTAATTAAATTGTTAAATTGTTACCTATATTATAATAAACAATCACGTCATGTACTTTTAAAGCGTTATAAATTATAATAAACATTGATATATATATATATATATATAATATTATTACTGCATAATTATGGTATTTTTCTACTAATACCTATACTTGGATTGCGCGTGTGAATTTTGTTCAAACATATTAGATGTTATTGTTATATAACATACCTATATGTGAATGATTGCTAAATTAATTGATCTTGTGGTTATTATTAAAGCAAATGAAAATTCTAAAGTTTACTTATATACCTCTGACCTCTCTGCAGTAGTCGTGTCACCAACATTTGTATATGTTCGAAGTATTCAAATAACGAACTTTAAATGTAATGGATGCAAAAAAATATAACAATATGATTTATATTTGTGTATAGGAATCTCACTTGGGAATTCCTGGCTTACAAAAGTTATAAAATAAAGCATACATCATTTATGCAAACTTTATTTAAACTGAAAATAAATATTCTCCATGTATTATGAAATTAAATTATTCTGAATATTTTGACCTGTAAAAACTGTGGCTGCTGTAAAATTCATAAATATGTACCTATACTTGACATATATTATGTGTGAGATTTACTTTACTATCGATAGGTTGAAATGTAGAATATAGATGTGTTATTCACGAAATGTTAATATCTCTCTTCTTATTTTTAATGACTTGTTCGGTGTGTTCGCTCAAAAAAATGTCGGCCGTATGTGTTTTATTAACCGTCATCGATTATGAAAGCATGAAAAAAATCTTTACAAACATAATAATAATACTATAACGTCGTGATGACTAACAGTTCGATTGTTTTACTACAGGCAACTGGGAATGCTGCACATGGAAGCGTTGGCCAAGTTGCGTCGTACTGTTCCACACTTGGAGTTCCCGGCCCTGCACAAGGAACTGTTCTCGGTCGACGGCAGTTGATCTGAGGAGGAAGGCTGCGACGACGACGACGACGACGGCGGCGGCGGCGTCGGCGGCTGTGATGGCGGCGGTGGTGGCGGAAGCGGTGGTAGCGGCGACGGTGACGACTCGGTGAATGACTCGTCTTCGATCGTCATCTCGTCGGTGATCTC